TCAAACAAGTATTTCAAACTCTTGTGATCGCTGAATATTGCAAATTGCATTCCATACAAGAAATGCCTCCACTGCTTCAACCCAAAAACAATTGCAGCAAGCTCAAGGTCATGGGTCGGATAATTTTCTTCGTGCGGTTTCAATTGCCTCGATGCATAAGCTACCACCCGCCTATCTTGCATCAGCACACATCCCAATCCCTTCTTGGAAGCATCGCTGTATAGCTCAAATTCACCTTCCGGGTCGGGAAGTACTAGCACCGGAGCGGTCGTTAGTTTCTCCTTAAGGCTCTGAAAGCATTCTTCACATTCTTGTGTCCAAACAAATGGAGTATCCTTCCGGGTCAAACGGGTCAATGGCAACACCATGGGTGAAAATTCTTTAATGAATCTCCGGTAATAACCAGCCAAACCCAGAAAACTTCTTATTTCTGTTACTGTCTTGGGTCTCTCCCAATCAACAACTGCCTCTATCTTGCTAGGATCAATCGCTACTCCCTCAGCAGAGATAACGTGACCCAGAAATTGCACTTGAGAAAGCCAAAACTCACATTTAGAAGGCTTTGCATATAACTGTTTCTCTCTGAGAATTTGCAACACAGTTCTCAAGTGGCCTTCATGCTCTTCCTTACTCTTGGAATATATCAGGATATCATCAATAAACACAATCACGAATTGATCCAGAAACGGCTTAAATATGCGATTCATGTAATCCATAAACACCGCAGGAGCATTAGTGAGTCCAAATGGAATTACTTGATACTCATAATGTCCATATCTAGATCGGAAGGCAGTCTTCGGAATATCTTCCTGCCTAATTCGGATTTGATGATAACCCGACCTCAAATCAATCTTTGAGAAAACACAAGCACCCCTCAACTGATCAAGCAAATCATCTATGCGAGGGAGAGGATACTTGTTCTTAATGGTAACCTTATTCAACTGACGGTAATCAGTGCACAATCTCATGCTACCGTCCTTCTTCTTAACAAATATGACTGGTGCTCCCCACGGGGACACACTTGGCCGGATAAACTGCTTAGCCGAAAGCTCTTCAATATGCTTCTTTAACTCGGCTAATTCTGGTGGTGACATCCTATACGGAGCCAGAGAGATAGGCCCCACACCAGGCAACAGATCAATCGTGAACTCAATCTCTCTATGAGGCGGAAGTTGTGGAATTTCATCTGGAAACACATCCACAAACTCCCTCACCACGGAAATAGTGCCAATCTCCTCATGACTTCCGCCTACTAAACCCCCCACAAAGACATATCCCAATGCCCCGGCCCTCAAAGCCTTTCTAACCTGCAACACAGATAGATATGGGGAAGAACTAGTAGCAGAATCATCAGCATCAAGCACAATCCTTTTACCGTAGCAGTCTATCATAGCACAGTTCTTTGACAACCAGTCCATACCCAAGATAACTTGAAGGCTGATCATAGGTAAACAAATAAAATCCAGCACGTAATCTCGGCCTTCATATTTGAACTCAACATCTTTACACAACACGGATGTATAACACTCCTCTCCAGTAGCAGTAACCACTTTCATTGGAGGGCGAATGTCATACATTTGCAAATTTAGCCCAACGGCCATAAAATCAGACATACAGGAGTGTGTAGCTCCTGAATCAAACAACACTTCAACATCCATATTATCAATGTAAATTGTACCTTTCACTAGATTCGGAGCCTTCTCCGATTGTTGACGGTCCATGGTATATTCTCTACCAACCGTCTGAGACTCTAGCATAGGTGGAACAACAGAGACCGGAACAGCAGTAGCTTGAACTGCCATAGTCCTTGCTTCGTTCTGAGGACACTGCCTGGAGTAGTGACCGGATCTTCCACATTTAAAACAAATCACCTCACCGGAAGCACATGGACCTCTATGCTCCTTGCCACATCCCTTGCACTTGGGAGGAGGTCCTCTATCAACAAAATTCTTCTGAGTACCGGGTTTTTTGAACAAGTCAAAAGGCTTATTCGCATTCAGCTTCTTGCCTTGCACCTTCCTGTTCTTCCAATAACCTGAGCCCGTTGCTTTATTGGAACTAGGTGCCTGGGCCTCAGAAGACTTCTTGGTTTGGGACACCTTATACACTTCCTCCACTTTCCTACACTGGTTTACAAACCGACTGAACTCTCGGATGTCACAATTTGACATCTTCCGAGACATCTTCTCATTAAGACCCCATTGGAACTTGGAGGTCATTTCAGCCGGGGTGGGTAAGGCTCGCCCATAGTTGGCGTATTTCACCAACTCATTGAATTTTGAGAAGTATTGGTCAATAGACATCGACCCTTGTTTGAGATCGTTATACTCATTCTGCTTTTGTTCCCTGGCCTCTATAGGGAAGTAGTTATCCAAGAACAATGTCTCGAATAACCGCCATGTGATCTCCCGACCTTCAGCTTCTAATGGCTGCACGGTATTTGTCCACCAATCTTCTGCTTCCTCTTCCAGCATATAAACAGAGTAAGCCAACTTCATTGCGTCAGGGCACCTCATCACCCTGAATATTTTCTCCATCGCTTGGAGCCATTTTGCAGCCGCCATTGGTTCATAACCTCCCTTAAAAGAAGGAGGTTTATGTTTTCGGAAAGCCATCAATCTCCTTTCCTCCATTTCATGATCACCGACATTTTCAACTTGAGGTTGACGAACCTCGGTGTGATGACTCCGACTCCCAGAGTGGTGACTACCTTCACCCTCATTGTTACCCACTCCACCCCCTTCCTGTGAAGGAGGTGGAGAAGGCGTAGCAGTGTGAGGAGGAGGAGTGGGTTGCCGGTTCACGGGCCTAGGACCCCTCAACGTCCTCAACTCGGTTATCATCGCGGCCATAGCAGTCCGCGAGTCTTCATTTGTCTTTAACAAATTTTCATTGGCTTGCCTGCTAGCAGCCAACTCTCTCTGAACAGCTGCAAGAGCTTCAGCCACGGGATCAGGCGGTACGCCCGTTGCCCCACGGCCACTTCTAGGCCTCACAAGAGCAGCCAAAACAGGTTCTGGCTGAGCATTGGTGTTTGATGGTCCGGGGTTGTTTCGGTTCCTCGTCATGTCACTACACATGTTACACAAAGAAGTGAGTTGATCAGGCCCACACTTAGTGATCACAAATGCAATAATCATAAAGAGTACTAAAACAACTATAAAGCATCAAACACTAAGCATACTCAACAATAACTAACAGTTATTCCCTACGAAACTGCTCTGATACCATAAAGTGTAACGCCCCGTTCTAGAACCGGTTTGTTAACATCGCATTATGATATTAAGCGCAGTTACAATCACATGGGTTCAATTAAAATCCGGATAAATTTTTCATTTTAAAACGTACCGAACTTATAATACCCAATTTTGTGATCATAACCATATTACCTTGCGGAAACAGATAAATTAAGCTTAACATCATGTTCATTTTCCATTTTTAAACCATTAATTTACTTCTTGTTTAGTTCAAAACTTCTACTATATTGTAGGTTTCTTCATTAGCTACCCGTGGCTTCAAACCGTGCTCAAATCGGAGCACTGTAGCCCAAGTTAGGACATTTTGAAGCAACACAAGAGAGTGTTGGTCACAGGCCCCGCGCGCTTCAGCGCGCTACTGGGCGCTCAAGCGCGCTCTATCGGGCGCTAAAGCCTCCATCTGGGCGCTTAAGCGCACGGAGGCAGGAAGCATCAGGTATTTCAGTGTGAATGGGCGCTTAAGCGCGCATCAGGGCGCTCAAGCGCGCTATCCTGGGCGCTTAAGCTCCCATTGGGACGTTTTAGCGCGCAGAGACAGAAGCATCTCCTCCTACAGTGGCTAAGGGCGCTTAAGCCCGGACCAGGGCGCTCAAGCGCGCAACCCTGGGCGCTTAAGCCCCACACTGGGCGCTAAAACACGAGGGGACAGTAAGCATCCCATCTTTCTGCAGCGAAGGGCGCTTAAGCGCGAGCCAGGGCGCTCCAGCGCGCTATCCTGGGCGCTTAAGCCCCCACTTGGGCGCTCCAGCGCGAGGAGGCCGAATGCATTGGCACTCACAGGGGCAGCAGGGCGCTTGGGCGCGCTCCTGGGCGCTTAAGCGCGCTGCCAGGGAATTCCAATTCCCACATTTCTCAAGTCCAAGCCTAGGGGAAGATGTATCCCCATTACAAACCCCAATTGTCCATGCCCCAATACTAAATCCTAGCACTCATCCAACCTCTCCTCATGAGATTTAGCTAGAATTTGGGCAGCATGACCTTTGTTTTCTCAGCGTTTCCCAAATTTAAACAAAAGGTACCTAATTGATTCTCAGCCCAACCAATTCAACAACTCAATACATAACAAGCATGCATATATTGAATTTCAAGTAGGCATCATTTACATTACATATCCTTTACAAATCATAGAACTTAGCTTACAAAACACTATGATCATTCCCTTGGCTCCCATCAACCAAAGGTGTAACCAAAGGCATGAGCATAGGCTAAGTTCATCCAATGAATCAAGATATACAAATGACCATGGGCTTTCAGAATAAAATCCTATACATGTCAACTACAAAAGGCATGCATAAACTCAAAGAAATGCCATATTTCATGCATAATCCAGATATGGCCACTTGCCACCAGAGGCTCCTGCATCATCCTTACCTCAAAGGGGGTCCCCACAACACGGAGTGAGATATACGAATATATCCAGTAAACCAGGGGTCCTTGGAGCATCTCTCCACCCCACAGTTCCATATCAGTGTAATAGCAATAACAATAATAATGCAGTAAATACATATCTATGCAAAGTGCTATACATCTCCAGGAGAAATCCCTCGAGCTCTCAAGCTGTCCTAAGGAAACTCAGATGCAAATAGTCCTACTGGCCAGCTAACTACCAAGTATGATTTACGCATCGTCATACAACATACCACATAGGGAAACACCATCCTATGCCACACCAAATGCATACACATACGTATAACAAAGCATTACACTATTTTATTGCATTTATATACACAATCACAACCTCTACCCTTTCAGGGCTTGGTAGAACAGTCAAGGGAATTACACCCAAGGTCCGAAGGCTTACCTCAATGCTTCAGTCGACCTTTGTTCTTCACCAATGTCAACAATACTCTACTCCAAAACCAACACCTACACATGGTGTAATGCAATCAACACATTGCATCCAAGAGTATTTCACAATCAACCATCAATTCAAAACACAACTCAAGTATGAGCTTACCAATTCCAATGAGCTATTCAAGCTCCATAGCTTGCTCCAATGGTTGATCACTCACGGTTGGTCCAAATGTCTCAATCCTAGACATCACAAGGATCCAATCAATCATTCAACTCACTAATTGTTCAACATGCTAGAATACTAACCAATCCAAGCATGAATTTTCCAATATTATGAACAATTATCAAATGACTATCTAGGCTCATTTCCACCGATTAAATGACATTCCTAGCATTTTTCATAACATGCTCTAAGCTCCATTCTTCCTAGAACATAGCTAATTCAACCACATTTCATAAAAATCCCAATTTACTATTCACAAACCCTAACTCATGCAAATTTCAAGGAATCATGAGGCTCAAGGGTTAGAATCTTACCACCAATGGTCACACAACCAAGCAAGGAGTGTTCCTCAAGCTCCCATGGAGGTTGAACTTCCCAAAACCCCAAAATCTCTCCAATGGCTGAATTTTTGAGAGGCAATATCCCTCTCCACAATGCTCCCCACTCAAAACAAAGCAAGGATTATGAAAGAGGAGGAGATTTGGAGTGGTTTAGGCTTTTGAACGGATGGATTTGGTTGAGATTTGCTTTCTCTCTCTCTCTTTCCCTTTTCTTCTTCCCTCTCTTCTCCCTCTCTTCTCTTCTCCTCTGTTTTCTGGCGACGGGTTTCTGGGGGAAATGGGGGTCTTTTGGTAGCTTAAGTCACTTAACATAGGTTAAGTGGCTTTAAGCGGGTATTGGTTCGTCTATCTATTCAACTCCAATAATTACCAAACTTTATCCAAAAGTCTGGAATATTATTCTAGGAATATTACTATTTTTATTTTTATATTTTGGGTACTTTTGCCAGTACCCATTTCTACCCCTTAATTTTCACTGAGTACACTTTTTAACTCCAAAGTGACTCAGATTCATTTAATTAAGCCTTATACTTAATTTCACTCACTAAAACATGTTTAATTAATTAATTACACTTGATTTACTAATTAATTAAGATGGGCTATTATAGTTTAAGCTTTTCCTCAATAACCAGAGTACACAAATATTTAACCACTACCCAATCCCCAAGTTGGAACCCATTAGGGGTGTTCGCGGCCTGGATTGGATTGGATCGGTTTTGGAAGTAAAAATCATCTGATCCAATTCTTTCGGTTTGATCATTTAATTATCTATTCGGTTTGAATTTTTTTCCAAATTCGATCTGATCAAATCCAATTTTTTTCGGTTTGGATTGGATCAGATCAGTTTTCGATTTTTTGAAAATCCTAAAATTAGTTTCATAATTATTGTGCAAATAACATCTTTTGTATATTTATTTTTTTTGACATACAAAAGCATCAATAAACGATAATATAAATTTTTTTGGGTGATGAGATATGAAACTCTACACAGATGAAATTTTGTTGATGAGATGTGACTAGGTTTTTTCTTGGATTTTTTTTTTTTTTTTGGTGAAGGGCACAACCCCTAACAAAAACAAAGAAATTACATCAAAGAATGTCTAGCTCTGTGAACAGAACTAAAATCAGCAAAAAACAACCACCTAATATTGGGGGGAACATGAAAAATCATATAATCTTCTTGATCTAGCTTACGAAGGGTAGTCAGCACAAGAATTGCCTTCCCTGTAAGTATGAAGCAGCCTAACAGTCCCGTCCTTTAAAAGTCATTCCCGTATGCGGGTCACTAAATGAGACTCACGGGATTCATCACCAAGTTTGGTGAGCAAAGTGATAGCATATGCTGAATCACTTTCCAAAATAATTTTCCTCCAACCCCCTTCCCAAGCTATTTCCAATCCTTTCAGAATACCCCACAGCTCAGCTATAATTGTTGTGCAGTAGCCTATTCTATAAGAAAAAGCTTCCAACCATTAATATAGTTTTTTCTTGGATTTAGTTGATGGGTTAATGGGTCTTGGGTTTAGAAATTTTTGGGTTATGATCGGGGAAAGACCTAAGTAGGTAGAGGGAAATTAATATATTGGATCGATTTGGATTGAATCAATTTTCATCAACCCATCCGAAAACCAATCCAATCCAATTAAAATTTGCGATTTTTTTTCGGTTTTCGATTTTTCAATTTTCGGTTTATTCTGTTATCGGTTTTTTGGTTCGGTCATCGCAGTTTGAATCGGTTTGGATTGGTTGATAAACACCCTTAGAACCCACAACATTATTGCCATCTCCATGTTCCATGGTCTTCAAACATAGCAACCTTTCAATCTAAGCACCAATAGAGCTTCCAAAACACATAATTTCTAGTTTTATTAAAAAATTCTCATATAAAAAATATTTCCTTTCAAAATAAAAAGTATAATGCGTTTGTTTTGTTTTTTATTTTTGTTTTCAGTTAATATTTATCTTATTTTCTTTAAACATTCTTAAAAATAATTAAAAAATGAAAATAGTGTGATATTTTTATATTTATTGATAAAAACTTATAATAAAGATTTTAAAAATGAACAAATTGTTATAAAATATAACTATATGGATGTTCATAACCCCAAAGCAATGATGTATATCTCTTGTAACTCCCATGAGTTATCATATGTAATTAAGAGGATTTGACACTGTCATTTAGTCTATTGTAACTCATCATAGTAAAACTCATTACCCTTTATTTTACAACACAAATTAGCTAAATGCATCACCCATTGTATGTTGTCGTCCATATGACACAATACAAATTTGATACGAACATGAATACTCTCAATATCTTCGACACAAACATTATTTTGCCACGATACGACAAAAGCAACCTGGCCAACCTTAAATTTATCGCTTATTATTTAGGTTGACACGATACAATAACCTATCAATCTCGTGGTGTGTCACTTATTATATAAGTTGACATTACCTGATAAAACACAAATAAGAGTGAATGTTGCTTCCACCATCTATATCTGTTGGCATCCTCCCTTGATAGATTAGTGCCTCTATTCGTAAATGTTGATTTGCATTTTTTTTAGTAGGTTGGGTGGGATTGGAGTTTCCTTTCTCTTTTGTTTTCAACTGTTCATCAAAATCAAACATTCTATTTGATTTTTAAAATTTTGAAGTGTGATTATATACAATGTTTTAGTATTTTTGTTATTAAATTAGCTCTTTAACGGGTAATTATATTAGTTATTAGTATTGTCTTGACGAGTCTTATATTGACTTTTATTCACTTGTTTAGAAAAAATTTAGCCAAATATATTTTTGTAAAAGCTCTTATCATAAAGAGTACTTTTTATAATGAATAACAAAAAAAGTTAAAAGTTTTCGGGAGAAATTTTTTAAGATGTACATTAATCTTTTAGAAAAAAGTATAAATTATTTTATCAAATAATTACTTTAAAATAATTTTTAAGTTAAAATTTTCATATAATTGCCAAACAATTTTTTTTTATTTTTTATAAGTTTTTATTTTAAACTTTAACTTAAAAATAATTTATAATTTGAAAAAACACGTTAAATAAGCATTAAATATCACAATACTTAAAATATCTAGGTTGGATTTATGAGTTTTCTTTCAAGTGGGCTTTGGCTTCTTTGTGGTTTTGGTTTAGGTTATTTTTTGGATGGTATTTAGTTAGGTAATTAGGTTTGGGTCAAGATAATTTATAGAAGCCAGATTGCTTTTCTTTTGGGCTAGGCTATTCTGTGGGCTAAAACAGATATTTTTGTGTTGGCGTTTTTATTTTGCTCAAGTTGTTGAAAATTAATGGTCTCAATAATTTTTAAATAGAAAAAAATTACAAAGTAAATAAATTGGATGAGAATATTTGAATAATTTAAGATGAGTAAGTAAACAAAATGCAATGAAAACATTATTGGGAATAAATCTGAGTAAAAATGTCTTCTAATTCTCTTTAACTTATTTTGTAATGAGTTTGATTCTTGTTATATACGTTTATTATTTTTTTTATGTTTTTACTAACATGTATTTTTCTACATGGAACGAGTTTAGGTTACTTGAATATGTAGTTTAAGTTTGATAATTGTGTAAAACAAAATACCATGGAAGGAATTTCCATGTTTAGCGTTTTTCCATACAATAAGTGATTAGTCTCTCACCTGGCTAGTAAAACGCAGTATTTTAAAACTCTGCCCCGTCCCGGGGACAACCCCGTTAGGTCATTGGCCCCCTCTCTTTGAGGATTGGGATTAGCAGTTAGACCCTGTGTAACATCTCGTTTGCACTCAGTGTATTAAACATCTAGATGGTAATAGCGCAACTAATTAAATGCGGAAGCTAACTTTTTCTTTTCAATTATGAATCATTCATTATTAACCAAGTGGATTTATTCGTTCCTTTTCAAAATATAGCCTGTATGTAAATTGCAATAAATAACTAAATGAATAACCTCATGACATAAATAGTATTGAGTCACGGAACTACAACACGTAGACCAGACTATATCCAGATACAATAATACAACTCAAGTCTGAAATAACATAACTGATATCAATGTGGCATGGACAACCCTCGTGCTCACCAAATAAAACAATGTAGTCAATCATGTCTTAAGTACAATAGCCATATAACGATAATCAGACATAATCATATGAACATATGGCAATAAAGAAGCATGCATCAATCAGCTCAACTCCGGCTTCCTGCCACCAGAGGTCTCAACCTCAGAGGTACCTGTACCTGAAAATATGCCCCAACAAGGGGTGAGATCTCTAAAAAAATAAGAGGTGGAGAGTCTTCAAGAAGTTCAAGGCTAGTGTGGAGAAAGAAAGTAGATGCAAAATCAAAGCCATGAGATCCGATAGAGGTGGAGAGTTCACTTCCAAAGAATTCCAAGAATTTTGTGATCATAATGGAATCCGACGACCTTTAATCGTTCCTAGAAGTCCACAGCAGAATGGAGTAGCTGAAAGGAAGAATAGAACCATTCTCAACATGGCAAGGAGTATGCTCAAGAGCAAGAAGATGCCAAAAGAGTTTTGGGCTGAAGCCGTGGCAACTTCCGTCTATCTTTTAAACTGTTCGCCAACAAGAAGTGTGTCGGGAAAGACGTCATAAGAAGCTTGGAGTGGAAGAAAGCCTGGGATCTCCCACCTGAGAGTGTTTGGAAGCATAGCCTATGCACATATTCATGATGAGAAAAGGTCCAAGCTTGATGACAAAAGTGAGAAGCTCATCTTCATCGGGTATAATTCTAACTCTAAAGGCTATAAACTTTACAATTCGAACAATGGAAAGACTATCATTAGTCGAGATGTGGAGTTCAACGAAGAAGAAGAATGGAATTAGGGTCTATGTGATGAAGACTAGAACTTCCTTCCCTACTTTATGGAGGAAGAAGAGAATGTGCAACCAAGGATGGAATCAGAGGACACTACTCCACCAACTTCACCAGTTGCAAGTCCTCAAGAACAACCATCGTCATCTAGAAGTTCAAGTGAACGAGTACCACACTTCAAAAACCTGCAAGAAATTTATGAGGTAACAGAGAATCAAGATAATCTCACTCTATTTTGCCTCTTTGCTGATTGTGAGCCAATGAGTTTTCAAGAAGATGTTCAAAGCAAGAAATGGAGAAATGCTATGGATGAAGAAATCAATGCAATTGAGAAGAACAAAACAGGGGCCCTAGCCTCACTTCCAAAAGGGCACAAGGCGATTGGTATGAAGTGGGTCTACAAAGCTAAAAGGAATGCCAAGGGAGAAGTTGAAAGATACAAGGTGTGATTGGTGGCAAAAGGCTATAGTCAACGAGCAGGAATCGATTATGATGAGGTATTTGCTCCTGTTGCTCGCTTAGAAACTATTAGACTAATTATTTCTTTGGCAGCTCAAAACAAGTGGAGCATACACCAAATGGATGTAAAATCAGCATTTTTGAATGGAGCACTTGAAGAAGAAGTGTAAATCGAGCAACCAGCAGGGTACGAAGTCAAAGGACATGAAGATAAGGTATTGAAGCTGAAGAAGACACTTTATGGGCAAAAACAAGCACCAAGAGCTTGGAATAGTCGAATCGACAAGTACTTCCAAGAGAATGGTTTTATCAAATGCCCTTACGAGCATGCACTTTATGTCAAGCTCAAAGATGGAGATATTTTGATCTTGTGCTTGTACGTGGATGATCTAGTCTTCACCGAAAACAATCCAAGGATGTTTGAAGAGTTCAAGAAAGTGATGAAGAAGGAGTTTGAGATGACTGACATTGGACAAATGGCATACTATCTCGGCATTGAAATCAAGCAGAAAGAAGAAGGTTTTTCATCACTCAAGAAGGTTACGCAAGGGAGATACTTAAGAAATTCAAGATGGACGATTGCAAGTCTATCAACACCCCAATGGAATGTGGAGTTAAGTTGTCCAAGTATGGTGAAGGAGAAGATGTTGATCCTACTTTCTTCAAAAGCTTAGTTGGAAGTTTGCGCTACTTGACATGCACCAGACCTGACATTCTCTTTGTTGTTGGATTCGTTAATCGCTACATGGAGACTCCAACTACCACGCACTTGAAGGCTGCAAAGAGAATCCTCCGCTACATTAAAGGAAAAGCACCACTGGATTTGTGTTCTACATGGGAGATACTGCTTTCACATGGATGTCAAAGAAATAACCTATTGTCACTCTATCTACTTGTGAAGCCAAATATGTTGTAGCTACATCGTGTGTTTGCCACGCCATTTGGTTAAGGAACTTGCTAAAGGAGTTAAATATGCAACAAGAGGAGCCAACCAATATTTATGTTGACAACATATCTGCCATTGCATTAGCAAAGAATCCAATTTTCCATGATAGAAGTAAGCACATTGACACACGCTATCATTTTATAAGGGAATGCATTGCAAGAAATGAGGAGCATATAAAATATGTGAAGTCTCAAGAACAAGCAGCAGATATCTTCACCAAGCCACTCAAGAATGAAGACTTTGTCAAGATGAGAAAATTGCTTGGAGTTACAAAATCAAGTTTAAGGGGGGAGAGGTGTTGAATAAATAAACTTGATTTAATTTTTGGTCCATTGGACTTAGTATACATTTATCCCAACATCTAGAATTATACTTTAGGAGTTAGTTTAGCCCAAGAACTAGAAATTTCTATTCTAATCAATTCCATGAAAGATCTAGAGGGTAGTTGCACCTACCATTATTAATGAGGGTAGTTGTACCTACCACAATTAATATTTGTACTAGGCTAGTATAGAAAACTCTAGAATTATTTGGAGTCATTATTTTGATGAGGTGCCACTAGTATAAATAGAGGTCATCTCCATCATTTTGTAACAAGCCAAAAAAGAAAAAAGAGTTGTGTAGTAATAAAAGTGTTCTCTTCCTCCATATCTTTCTATAACCTTTACTTTTCTCAAATATCATCCTCCCAACATAATCTTCTTATATCTTTCATATTTATCCATTTCTACATGATAAAATAGGGATTTCGATTTTTTTTTTTCAAATTAAGAGATAACTTATTTAATATATATATATATATATATATATATATATATATATTTATATATGGGTTAAGATCATTTTACATCAGTGTAAGTTACACTCTCAATCTTGTCCGTTGATCCCACTTATATCTAAAGATTCTAATTTTTTAGTAATTTGAGTCGTTGGATATAAGTGGATCAATGGTCAAGATTGAGTGTAAGACTTCTAACTCTTACACCGGTGTAAGAATAGTATGCCCCTATATATATATATTACTGTTTAATAATTTTTTCATATTTTAAAAAAAAAATTAAATTATTAAATATGTTTAAATTTTCAATTTTAATGTTTCTTTTCTCAAATTTCATTTTTTTAACCATGCATACATCTCTACCAAATACTTTCTAGTTAATTTTATACTTGAAAAGAATAATAAAGCAGGAATAAGTACTTATTAGGTAGGAATTTCTCCTAGTTTTATTGACCAAGGAATACTTTTTTAACATGAACAAGAAATACTTTTTTAACTTGACCAAGAATAAATACTTTCAGAATCTCCATATGCTCAACGTACAAAGTGCCAATTGAAAGGCAATATCTACTTCGTGCATTAAAATTTTCAAATCTTGAACGTAATAAGCAGAACGAAAATTTTGGAATATCAGTCCTCAACTTCTTTAATTTGCGTCCACACTTTCATGAGATTTTAACATAATACCATAAAATTTTTACCAAAAAAGAAAAAAGAAAAACATAATACCATAATGAAAAACTATAACTCAAGGCTTGCTAGGACAAGCATCATTCCACCAAAATACAAGAATAAGTTCTTATTTCTGATTTGAATATTAGCTAAATGATTCATTGCATCATCTCATTTTCATTCAGAATTTGGCAAGCTCTAGGGTTGAAAAAATGATCATGAAATTAAATTTTCAATTTGTAATGAGAACAAGAGCAGCCAATCTAAAGTTTGAAAATTGCCAGGCATGCAGTGATGTCATAGAAACCAGAATCTCATACCCAGTTATATATCTTAACTAAACTAGCCATAAGCAATCTAAAGAAATTTATTATCAAAGAAACGAAGAATACAATCATCATAAAGACGATAAGTTTGAGTGAAGCACTGAAGCATAAAAGTGAGCTCAAATTCATTTGTATTCCCCAACTCAGAGTCTCAAAACTAAGTAGAATGCTATAAGCAGTTCATGTGTCATATATGATATCCTAAGCATAAGATTTACCAAAGCAAAAATACACAAGGTGAAGTGATTGTGTATTGACTCAAATATTAACAACTTCTTACAATAAACATTGGAAATTAAACATTTGCCGCCCTCGAAATGGTTCAGGTACTGCGGTGTTTAATGTGGTAACTGTTTCTCATTTCTCCGATTTGTAAGGAGAGGGAGAGAATCTTCAAAAGGACCAAGTTCCAAACTATATCTCAAAACATTCAGTAAGCTATATTCCTAATATCCCTAATATCTGATATTAGAAGCTAGTAGGGAGTAAAAGGAACCTTATCTCCATGATTTAACGGAACCAAGCTCAGGGAATGAGGAAGTATTGTAGGACACCACGTGCATTTTGAGTTCAGATCTTCAATAGAGCAAGCTTGAGCCATCTTGTTATTGTTAATATCATACATGTACATATGTGCACGCATCTTCATTAGTAAGACCCCATCTTTGAATCCTAGAGGATTCATCCATGGGTTTGTATCCACACTCACTCGCTGTAACACTCGATTCTTTAAATTTAAAAAGAAGCGTGGATATTCTCCCTCAATTTCCTCTAGAGATTTATAATGCTTGAGTGTCCATTTAAACTCATAATAATCTTCAAGATACCATACATGAAGACCTTCCTCTGATACTAGGACATAATGTATAATGACCCTCACATTTATTATGGATTTAATATTGAAGGATAATTATAAAGAAAAAGAAATGAAGTCACCTTTGATGAAAAAGGAGTTAAAATGACAGTTAAGGGGTGAAAATGCAGGAAAGAAAAGTTACTCGAAAAGTGAAAGTAAAGTTAGTAATATGACTAGAAAAATATTCTTTCCTAGTGGGTAAAGTTTGGTAATGAATGGAGGTGTATAGATAGATAAGTTTATATCCGCTAGTATAGTGAACTCACTTAAGTAACTCAAGTGAGTTACTATTCACCATTCATTTCTTCAATTCTCGCGGGCGAACGACAGAGAAGGAGAGAAGAGAAAGAGACTTTGAAGTCAAATCTTCCAAGGCTCATAACTTGAGATAAAGACCTCCAAATCACTTCGTTCCAAAGTCAAACTTGTGAGAAATTTCGAGAGAAATCCATTGGTACCAGTATTTCTGGATGAGTTTCCATGTAAAGAGAGATCTTCTTCCTCTAAAATTCGGATTTCTTTGAATGGGGGGATTTTGATGGAGCTTGAAGCCATGGGAGCTTGAAGTAAGCTTTCCCCTTCGTTCTAAGTAAGTTTATGTTGAGAAATCCTAATTTTCTTTGAGTTTTGAGGAAGATTTGATTTAGTTTTCCATTTTGAAAGTTTGGTTTGATTGAGCATGTTAGAGCTTGATTGAGGCTTGGCTCATGTTGAGAAAAGTGTTCAGATGAAGATTTTAACGGTGAAAATGTATTTGGAAAATTTGAGATACCGTACTTTTGAATAGTGACGTATATGAATAGTACCGTATACGTGAATAATGATGTATACATGAATAGTAATGTAGAGATGAACAGTACCGTATGTATGAATAGTTAAGAAATATTTGATAAGTAAAAGATGAAATCAATAAATGGTGTTTTTGGTTAACTACTTGGCTTTGAACCATTTTATTGATATTTGTATGGATTCCCTATTCTAGGTGCGCCTAAGAGTCTTGTTGAGGATCCTACATCGAAAGAGGCTTGGTAGCTCGGTTGTTGGGTAGGCCACCTATACAGCTTTGAGAGGTAAGCTCTATGTTTATGGGATTCGCTCTTACTTTGTGTTCCGCCATAGTGTACGGACTGTAGTCAGGTTGTATCATATGTATGAGATATATGATATAGATGCATTCATATAGAACTATATGATGATGTGATGCGATATGTTTTGATGTGTTTAATTTGATATATTTTGATGTGTTTACTTTGATATGTTTTGATGTGTTTACTTCGATATGTTTTGATGTGATTTCTGTAATGATCTCTGGCCATTGATTCTATATGCACTGATGTCCGCTTGGGGTCCTCTCTTGGGACTGACTGTGTATATATCTGTTATATGTTGAGTTCTGCTTGGGGTCCTCCCTTGGGAACATGTGCACTGATTTTCGCTTGGGGTCCTCCCTTGGGATTGACTGTGTACACCTCTGTTATGTGATGATCTTTGGCCATTGATCCTATGTGCCCTGATGTCTGCTTGGGGTCATCCCTCGGGACTGATGATGTACACCTCTGATATGTTCTGGTTTCGCTTGGGGTCCTCCCTTGAGAACACGCACGTTGATTTTCGCTTGGGGTCATCCCTTGGGAATGACAGCGTACGTCTCTGATAAGATATATTTTGTTCTGGTGTGATTATTGTGATGATTTTGTATATGATATTTATTACGTACGTTGATTTTTGCTTGGGGTCATCCCTTGGGAATGACTATGTACGTCTCTGATATGATATGTATTGTCTGAAGTGATTATTGTAATGTTTTAGTTATGATATTTGTTACGTGCGTTGATTTTCGCTTGGGGTCCTTCCTTGGAAAATACTACGTGCATCTCTGATAAGATATGTATATATGCTCAGTTTAGTTATGATATTTGTTACGTGCTTTGATTTTCGCTTGGGGTCCTCCATTGGGAAATACTGCGTGCATCTTTGATAAGATATGTGTATATGTTTGTTCAGTTATGATAATTGCTTATATGATGTTTTGTATATTATGTATCTGACTGTCATGCAGGAAGTGAGCCCAGGGTATGGAGAATTTTCCATAAACCTGGAGTTTACTAGAGATTTGTCTCTAATCCCATTTGGGGATATGATTTCAGGAACACAATTAATTGAAGAGCCCTCACGGGACAAGGACACTACCCGTGGCTAGAGGTACTAGTATGAGGATATGGAGTTCTAGGTGGCTGGAGGCTACTATTTATTTTAGATGTATTTTTGGAGAATATGTATTGTTGTATAATGTTCTATTGATTTTGTGATCATGATGTTTGATCCATTATACAATATATGATCCGTATATGTTTTGTATAGGGTTGTGCATGGGTCAGGTCGGGTCAGGTTTTTGTCCGACTCGACCCAACTTGGTTTTTATAGGTCAGGTATTTTGACCCGACCCGCTTTAATTTGATCCAAGTCAGGTCTGACTTGGATTGGATTTTGTTGAACTAGTTCAGAACCAGTTTGGATCTGACCTGACTTGGTTTCTGAAGTGGGTCTGACTTGGTTTCTGAACTGGGTCAAATCTGACCTGACCCGTTTTTGACTTGGTTTTCTCACAAAATTTTGTCGAAATTTTTACGTTGCAAAAGACGAAAATTTCGTCACAAAATTATTTTTTCGTCGAAATTTTTACAAAAAAAAGAATTTCTATTGAAATTTAGTTTCCGTCAACAATTTTGACGAAAATGATTTCTTCCATCAAATGTTTTAAACGAAAAAAGAATTTTGTCAAAAAATTTGACGAAATGTTTTTCATTCAAAATTTTGAAGGGAATGTGTTCTGACGAAAATTATTTCGAGGGGAATGTTTCATTTGAAACTTTCGACGAAATTTAGATTCTCTAAAGAATTTTAACAGAATATTTTTTTCGTCAAAATGTTTTTTTTGTCAAAAAAATTTACGAATTTTTTTTATAGAAATGTGTTTCGTTGAAAATTTTAATGGAAATTTTTTATCAAAAAACTTGACGAAAATATTTAGTTGAAAATTTTGATTGAAATGTGTTTCGCTAAAAATTTAACGAAATTTTTTTCGTCGAAAACTTTCACCGAAATTTGAAATCTGTAAAGAATTTTGATGAAATTTTTTTGCCGTCAAAATTTTTTGATGACGAAAATGTTTTCGTCGAAAACTTTCGCCAAAATTTGAAATCTGTAAAGAATTTTGATGAAATTTTTTGCCGTCAAAATTATTTGATGACGAAAATATTTCCGTTGAAAACTTTCGCCGAAATTTGAAATCTGTAAAGAATTTTGATGAAATTTTTTGCCGTCGATATATTTTGCCGTCAAAATTTTTTGAGACGAAAATGTTTCCGTCGAAAACTTACGCCAAAATTTGAAATCTGTAAAGAATTTTGATGAACTTTTTTGCCGTCAAAATTTTTTTGCCGTCTAAATTTTTTGCCGACGAAATTTTTTTTTGGTCAAAAAGTTTTACGAAAAAGTTTAACAAAATTTGAAATCTGTAAAGAATTTTGATGAAATTTTTTTCCGTCAAAGAATTTCGAGGAAAATGTGTTTTGTCGAAAGTTTTTATGAATATATTTTTTTGTGAAATATTTTGACGAAATTTATATTCCGTAAAAAAATTTGACAAAAAAAATATTCCGTCAAATTTTTTTACCGATATGTTTTTAGTTACAAATTTTGAAGAAAATATTTTTCGTCAAAAATTTTTGCGAAAATTTTTATGAAAATATTTTCGATAAAAAATTTTGACGTAATTGTTTTACGTTAAAACTTTTCTTTTAATGTAATTGTGATTTTTTTTTCACATAATGGGTATGGGTCAAGTTTTGGGTCAGCGGGTCAATATTAAAACGAGTCAGGTCTAAAACTGACCCAAATAAAAGTGGGTCAGTATTTAAACTTGTTCAAAAAATATGGGTATTTATGGGTCGGGTCAAGGTCGGATCAAGGGCAGGGCAAGTAAACCAGTTTTTTTGCACACCCCTAGTTTTGTACATGTTTTCATATTTGATGCATGTACATTTGTGTATTCAGATATGTGCATGTGCTGAAATATGTATGCTGTTAGACATAGTGACACAGATCCAGTTATGCATGCACCCATGGATGTGTATTAGATCTGTTGTTGGACCATATATGATTATATGATATGTTTAAGATGATATGTCTATCAGGATACCTTGAGAGTAGGATTCACAAATCCCTGTTGGTCCGATTTACTGACGTTACTCTGTTCGATTTTCGTCTCCGTCGAATGAAAATTAAACCAGAAGAAATATGCAATACGATATATCATCTGAAAAAAGATTAAAGAAAAAGAAAAAGTTAGTTCGTATTTTCGTAAGTTAAGTCTTCCGCTGTTTCTGTTTGTATCATATGTATATTAATTGAACCGGCTCGAGACAGGGATGTTACACTATGCAGCTTGCCTTCAGATTCTCCAATACATGCTTCAGGGATAGTCCTAAACTCCAAGGTTGGAATTGGTATTGAAATCAACCAAGACAACTCCTTCTCCACACCAAAAGTCAAGACTTGATCACCATCTGTAAGCCAATGTAAAACCCCTTCTATGTATATGCCTTTATTCTTGATCAAATTGTTATTACATTGGCAGATTTCATTGGATTTCCTCCATGCTCCGGTTTCTGAAGAGTATAATTCAAATGCTAAGTACAATCTCTCGTCTCTATTCTCATCCTGCTTAACTCTTACCAATTTAAATTTGGTAGAGATGTCAATGGAATCTTTGGATGGATCAAAAGCCAGTGCTACATTTTCTATTCTGTGATGGGAAGGTCACTCCACCTTAATCCACTCCTTAATTGAAGGATTGCAGTTATATAGAGTTGGCTCTTGAAGAGGGAAACAACTACCACAATAGACTAGTCTATTGCATGATGCCAAGATAACAACATCTTTAGGAAGAAAATTGAAAACCATGTGATAAACTTTGGCACCTATTGTCTCAACAGGAATGTAACTAACAATTTCGATGTCTTCATTGCCAAACTCAAACTTCTCTTGGTAAATGAACCCCGTTAAGACATGCTATGTGTTTTCCATCTGAGCTTTGTGTAACATCCCGGGCGCTGACGAGGGCGGGCAGTGATCGCCGGTGCGAAAGGGCATGATGCGAAAGGGTACAAACATGGAGTGGCTATTGGCAGGCTTCTAGGGACGGGGTACATGAATGAATCGAATCAACACCCGAAAGAGAGGGATTCTAGAGATTGTACTGGTATGAGACGATACAATTGGGAATAGTTTATAAGAATTAATTGGTACTACCTATACTAACAAGATGCATCTACTTTTTGGTAGCCCGGGACGGAAGAACTCCATAGTTAAGCGTTCTTGACTTGGGGAAATTCTGGGATGGGTGACCTCCTGGAAATTTTTCCCAGAAAGTGTGCGAGTGAGGACAAAACACGCTGAAAAGTCTCGTGTTAGTGTGTGGGGACAGTCGTTGACCCTTGCAAGTTGCCAGACATTACAAGTGGTATCAGAGGAGGCCTCTCTTCCAGTACGGTGTGGTTCGAGGACGAACCAGGCGGAAGCTGGTGGGCATGTAACATCGCGAGCATTGACGAGGGCGGGGAGTGATTGCCGGTGCGAAAGGGCACAAACAAGGAGCAGCTCTTGGAAGGCTTCTCGGGACGGGGGTAAATGAATGAATCGAATCAACACCCGAAAGAGAGAGATTCCAGAGAATGTGCTGGTGTGAGACGGTACAGTTGGGAATAGCTTATAAGAATTAATTGGTACTACCTATACTAACAAGATGCATCTACTTTTTGGTAGTCCGGAACGGAAGAACTCCATAGTTAAGCGTGCTTGACTTGGGGCAATTCTGGGATGGTGACCTCCTGAGAAGTTTTCTCGAAAAGTGTGCGAGTGAGGACAAAACACGCTGAAAAGTCTCGTGTTAATGTGTGGGGACTGTCGTTGATCCTTGCAAGTTGCCACGCATTACACTTTGATGAAGGAACGGCTGGAAATGATGCGGTGCCAATCTCTACAAATGCACTTTGTAACATCCCGAGCGCTGATAAGAGCGGGGAGTGATCGCCGGTGCGAAAAGGCATGGACAAGGAGCGGCTCCTGACAGGCTTCCAGCGGGGTTTTACATGCCTGAATGAATCGAATCGACACCCGAAAGAGAGGGATTCCAAAGACTGTGCAGGTACGAGACTGCACTGCTTGAGATAGCTTATAAGAATTAATTGGTACTACCTATACTAATAAGATGCATCTTCTTTTGGGTAGCCTGGAACGGAAGAACTCCATAGTTAAGCGTGCTTGACTTGGAGCAATTTTGGGATGGGTGACCTCCTGGGAAGTTTTCCCGGGAAGTATGCGAGTGAGAAAAAAACACACTGAAAAGTCTCGTGCTAGTATGTGGGGATAGTCGTTGATCCTTGCAAGTTGTCGGGCGTTACAAGTGGTATCAGAGCAGGGCCTCTCTTCCAGTACGGTGTGGTTCGAGGACGAACCAGGCGGAAGCTGGTGGGCATGTAACATCCCGAGCGCTGATGAGAGCGGGGAGTGATCGCTGGTGCGAAAGGGCATGGACAAGGAGCAGCTCCTGACAGGCTTCCAGCAGGGGTTTATATACATGAATGAATCAAATCGACTCCCGAAAGAGAGGGATTCCAAAGACTGTGCAGGTATGAGACTGCACAGCTTGAGATAGCTTATAAGAATTAATTGGTACTACCTATACTAACAAGATGCATCTTCTTTTCGGTAGCCTGGAACGGAAGAACTCCATAGTTAAGCGTGCTTGACTTGGAGCAATTTTGGGATGGGTGACCTCCTGGGAAGTTTTCCCGGGAAGTATGCGAGTGAGAAAAAAACACACTGAAAAGTCTCGTGCTAGTATGTGGGGATAGTCGTTGATCCTTGCAAGTTGTCGGGCGTTACAAGTGGTATCAGAGCAAGGCCTCTCTTCCAGTACGGTGTGGTTCGAGGACGAACCAGGCGGAAGCTGGTGGGCATGTAACATCCCGAGCGCTGATGAGAGCGGGGAGTGATCGCTGGTGCGAAAGGGCATGGACAAGGAGCGGCTCTTGACAGGCTTCCAGCAGGGGTTTATATACATGAATGAATCAAATCGACTCCCGAAAGAGAGGGATTCCAAAGACTGTGCAGGTATGAGACTGCACAACTTGGGATAGCTTATAAGAATTAATTGGTACTACCTATACTAACAAGATGCATCTTCTTGTCGGTAGCCTGGAACGGAAGAACTCCATAGTTAAGCTTCTTGACTTGGAGCAATTCTGGGATGGGTGACCTCCTGAGAAGTTTTCCCGGGAAGTGTGTGAGTGAGGAAAAAGCACACTGAAGAGTCTCGTGTTAGTATGTGGGGATAGTCGTTGATTCTTGAAGTGGCCGGGTGTTTCATGGGGCTACCGAAAAGTAGATGCATCTTGTTAGAGTATAGGTAGTACCAATTAATTCTTATAAGCTATCCCAAGCTGTGCAGTCTCATATCTGAACAGTCTTTGGAATTCCTCTCTTTCGGGTGTCGATTTGATTCATTCATACATGTTAACCCCCGCTGGAAGCTTGTCAGGAGCCACTCCTTGTCCATGCCCTTTCGCACCGGCGATCTCTCTCCACTCTCATCAGCGCTCAGGATGTTACATGATTCGCCGACTTGTTAAGCTTGAATACAAGGACGGCATGAGCATGATTGAACACCTGAACACCTACAAAGGTATTGTGAATCAGCTGTCAAAGGCTGATATGAAAATTGATGAAGAACTGCAGGCATTGCTGCTGTTTAGCTCGCTGCCAGAAAGCTGGGATACTCTAGTGGTGACCCTGAATAACTCGACTCCAGATGGAAAATTGAAGATGGATGTCGTGACAGACAGCCTCCTGGGCGAAGAATTCAGGAGAAGAGAACGAGGTACTTCGAGTACGTCTGAGGCCAACGCTGCTGAGAACAAAGGAAAATCCGACTCCCGCGGTAGAAGCAAAAGCCGAGGTAGAGGTCGTGACAGACGAGACAAGTCCAGAGGTCGGTCAAAGCCGAAATATGAGTTGAAGTGCTTTTACTGTGGAAAGACAGGCCATAAGAAGCCAGACTGTTGGACCCTGCAGAATGACGAGAAGAACAGCTCTGTGAAGCCAGATCAGATTATTCCCAAGAAGAGGGAAGACAAGAGCACCACTGCGGTGGCTGCCAACCCGGATGCCGAGATATTCCTCCTTGGTGAGGATAATTATTTGAATGTTGCATATGATGACTGCACCTGGATTGTTGACTCCGGTGCCTCCTTCCACGTTACTCCACACAAACTTATCGAGGTGGTGATTTTGGAGTCGTGAAGATGGGAAATCAAGTGACCAGCAAGATTGTTGGTGTCGGTGATGTAACTCTGACCACAGATGTCGGATGTCAACTTGTGTTGAAAGATGTAAGACTTGTTAAGCACACCTGGTTCGCCGACTTGTTAAGCTTGAATACAAGGACGACATGAGCATGATTGAACACCTGAACACCTACAAAGGTATTGTGAATCAGCTGTCAAAGGCTGATATGAAAATTGATGAAGAACTGCAGGCATTGCTGCTGTTTAGCTCGCTGCCAGAAAGCTGGGATACTCTAGTGGTGACCCTGAATAACTCGACTCCAGATGGAAAATTGAAGATGGATGTCGTGACAGACAGCCTCCTGGGCGAAGAATTCAGGAGAAGAGAACGAGGTACTTCGAGTACGTCTGAGGCCAACGCTGCTGAGAACAAAGGAAAATCCGACTCCCGCGGTAGAAGCAAAAGCCGAGGTAGAGGTCGTGACAGACGAGACAAGTCCAGAGGTCGGTCAAAGCCGAAATATGAGTTGAAGTGCTTTTACTGTGGAAAGACAGGCCATAAGAAGCCAGACTGTTGGACCCTGCAGAATGACGAGAAGAACAGCTCTGTGAAGCCAGATCAGATTATTCCCAAGAAGAGGGAAGACAAGAGCACCACTGCGGTGGCTGCCAACCCGGATGCCGAGATATTCCTCCTTGGTGAGGATAATTATTTGAATGTTGCATATGATGACTGCACCTGGATTGTTGACTCCGGTGCCTCCTTCCACGTTACTCCACACAAAGGTTTTTTCTCCTCTTATCGAGGTGGTGATTTTGGAGTCGTGAAGATGGGAAATCAAGTGACCAGCAAGATTGTTGGTGTCGGTGATGTAACTCTGACCACAGATGTCGGATGTCAACTTGTGTTGAAAGATGTAAGACTTGTTAAGCACACCTGGTTCGCCGACTTGTTAAGCTTGAATACAAGGACGACATGAGCATGATTGAACACCTGAACACCTACAAAGGTATTGTGAATCAGCTGTCAAAGGCTGATATGAAAATTGATGAAGAACTGCAGGCATTGCTGCTGTTTAGCTCGCTGCCAGAAAGCTGGGATACTCTAGTGGTGACCCTGAATAACTCGACTCCAGATGGAAAATTGAAGATGGATGTCGTGACAGACAGCCTCCTGGGCGAAGAATTCAGGAGAAGAGAACGAGGTACTTCGAGTACGTCTGAGGCCAACGCTGCTGAGAACAAAGGAAAATCCGACTCCCGCGGTAGAAGCAAAAGCCGAGGTAGAGGTCGTGACAGACGAGACAAGTCCAGAGGTCGGTCAAAGCCGAAATATGAGTTGAAGTGCTTTTACTGTGGAAAGACAGGCCATAAGAAGCCAGACTGTTGGACCCTGCAGAATGACGAGAAGAACAGCTCTGTGAAGCCAGATCAGATTATTCCCAAGAAGAGGGAAGACAAGAGCACCACTGCGGTGGCTGCCAACCCGGATGCCGAGATATTCCTCCTTGGTGAGGATAATTATTTGAATGTTGCATATGATGACTGCACCTGGATTGTTGACTCCGGTGCCTCCTTCCACGTTACTCCACACAAAGGTTTTTTCTCCTCTTATCGAGGTGGTGATTTTGGAGTCGTGAAGATGGGAAATCAAGTGACCAGCAAGATTGTTGGTGTCGGTGATGTAACTCTGACCACAGATGTCGGATGTCAACTTGTGTTGAAAGATGTAAGGCATGTTCCTGACATGCGTTTGAACCTAATCTCGGTAGGCAAACTTGATGATGCCGGGTTAGTGAACTACTTCGGTAGCGTGAGATGGAAGCT